ACAGTACACGATGTAGACGTGGCTGTGTCACGGTATCAGGAGGATGGGTTTACAGTACAGGATAAAGACGTGGCTGTCACGGGATCAGGAGGATGGTTTTATACTACACGATTTAAACGTGGGTGTATCACGGGATTAGGAGGATGGTTTTACAGTACACGATATAGACGTGGGTTTGTCAAGGATAGAGGATTGTTTTACAGTACACGATATAGAGGTGGGTGTGTCACGGGATCAGGAGGATGGTTTTATACTACACTATTTAAACTTGGGTGTTTCACGGGATCAGGAGGATTTATACTACACGATTTAAACGTGGGTGTATCACGGGATTAGGAGGATGGTTTTACAGTACACGATATAGACGTTGGTGTGTCACGGGATCATGAGGATGGTTTTACAGAACACGATATAGACGTGGCTGTATCACGGGATCAGGAGAATGGTTTTAAAGTACACGATATAGACGTTGGTGTGTCACGGGATCATCAGGATGGTTTTACAGAACACGATATTTTCATGGGTGTGTCACAGGATCAGGAGGATGGTTTTACAGTACACGATATAGACGTTGGTGTGTCAAGGGATCATCAGGATGGTTTTACAGAACACTATATTTTCATGGGTGTGTCACAGGATCAGGAGGATGGTTTTACAGTACACGATATAGACCTGGGTGTGTCACGGGATCAGGAGGATGGTTTTACAGTACACGATATAGACCTGGCTGTGTCACGGGATCAGGAGGGTGGTTTTACAGTACACGATGTAGACGTGGCTGTGTCAAGGGATCATGAGGAGGGTTTTACAGAACACGATATAAACCTGGGGGTGTCACGGGATCAGGAGGATAGTTTTACAGTCCACGATATAGACGTGGGTGTGTCACGGTATCAGGAGGATGGGTTTACAGTACAGGATTGTCACGGGATCAGGAGGATGGTTTTACACAACACAATATAGACATTGGTGTGTCACGAGATCAGGAGGATGGTTTTACAGTACACGATATAGTCGTGGCTGTATCACGGGATCAGGAGGATGGTTTTACACAACACAATATAGACATTGGTGTGTCACGAGATCAGGAGGATGGTTTTACAGTACACGATATAGTCGTGGCTGTATCACGGGATCAGGAGGATGGTTTTACAATACACGATATAGACGTGGCTGTGTCACGGGATCAGGAGGGTGGGTTTACAGTACACGATGTAGACGTGGCTGTGTCAAGGGATCATGAGGAGGGGTTTACAGAACACGATATAGACGTGGGTGTGTCACGGGATCAGGAGGATGGTTTTACAGAACACAATATAGACATTGGTGTGTCACGAGATCAGGAGGATAGTTTTACAGTACACGATATAGACGTGGGTGTGTCACGGTATCAGGAGGATGGGTTTACAGTACAGGATAAAGACGTGGCTGTCACGGGATCAGGAGGATGGTTTTACAGTACACGATATAGACGTGGCTGTATCACGGGATCAGGAGGATGGTTTTACAGTACACGATGTATACGTGGCTGTTTCACGGGATCAGGAGGATGGTTTTATACTACACGATTTAAACGTGGGTGTGTCAACGGATCAGGAGGATGGTTTTACAATACGGGATATAGACGTGGCTCTCTCACGGGATCAGGAGGATGGTTTTATAGTACACGATGAAGACGTGGGTGTGTCACGGGATCAGGAGGATGGTTTTACAGTACACGATGTAGACGTGGCTGTGTCACGGTATCAGGAGGATCGTTTTACAATACACGATATAGACGTGGGTGTGTCACGGGATCATGAGGATGGTTTTACAGAACACGATATATTCGTGGGTGTGTCTCACGGGATCAGGAGGATTGTTTTACAATACAGGATACAGACGTGGCTGTGTCATTGGATCGGGAGGATGGTTTTATACAACACGAATTAAACGTGGGTGTGTCACGGGATCAGGAGGATGGTTTTAAAGAACACGATATAGACGTGGCTGTGTCATGGTATCAGGAGGATGGTTTTACAGTACACGATATAGACTTTGGTGTGTCACGGGATCAGGAGGATGGTTTTACACTACACGATATAGACGTGGCTGTGTCACGGGATCAGGAGGATGGTTTTATACTACACTATTTAAACTTGGGTGTTTCACGGGATCAGGAGGATGGTTTTACAATACAGGATATAGACGTGGCTGTGTCACGGTATCAGGAGGATTGTTTTATACTACACGATTTAAACGTGGGTGTGTCACGGGATCAGGAGGCTGGTTTTACAGTACACGATATAGACTTTGGTGTGTCACGGGATCAGGAGGATGGTTTTACAGAACACGATATAGACGTGGCTGTGTCACGGTATCAGGAGGATCGTTTTACAATACAGGATACAGACGTGGCTGTGTCATTGGATCGGGAGGATGGTTTTATACAACACGATTTAAACGTGGGTGTGTCACGGGATCAGGAGGATGGTTTTAAAGAACACGATATAAATGTGGCTGTGTCATGGTATCAGGAGGATGGTTTTACAGTACACGATATAGACGTGGGTGTGTCACGGGATCAGGAGGATGGTTTTACAATACAGGATACAGACGTGGCTTTGTCACGGGATCAGGAGGATGGTTTTACAGTTCACGATATAGACGTGGGTGTGTCACGGGATCAGGAGGATGGTTTTATACTACACTATTTAAACTTGGGTGTTTCACGGGATCAGGAGGATTGTTTTACAGAACACGATATAGACTTTGGTGTGTCATGGGATCAGGAGGATGGTTTTACCGAACACGATATAGTCGTGGCTGTGTCACGGGATCAGGAGGATGGTTTTACAGTACACGATATGGACGTGGCTGTATCACGGGATAGATGGTTTTATACCACACTCTAGGACTGGGAGATAGGACTGAGAGGTAGGACTGGGATGTAGGACTGAGAGGTAGTACTGGGAGGTAGGACTAAGAGGTAGGAATGGGAGATACATTTAGACATCAGAGGTAGGATTTGGAGGTAGGACTGAGGAGTAGGGAGGGGAGTAGGACTGAGAGGTAGGACTGGTAGCTAGGACGGAGATGTATGACAAGGAGGTAGGAATGAGAGGTAGGACTTGGAGGTAGAACTGAGAGGTAGGACTGAGAGGTAGGACTGGTAGGTAGGACGGAGAGGTATGACACGGAGGTAGGAATGAGAGGTAGAACTTGGAGGTAGAACTGGGAGATAGAACTAAGAGGTAGGACTGAGAGGTAGGACTGGTAGGTAGGAATGAGAGGTAGGACTGGGAGGTAGGACTGAGTGGTAGGACCGGGTGATAGGACTGAGAGGTATGCCTGGGAGGTAGGAAGTATAGGTTTTAAGGATAGGTAGGAAGGATAGGTAGGAAAGAGAGGTAGGACTGGGAGATAGGACTGATAGGTATGACTGGGAGGTAGGAGGGATAGGCAGGAAGGATAGGTAGGAAAGAGAGGTAGGAAGGAGAGTTAGGACTGATAGGTAGGACTGGGAGATGGGAGGGACAGGCAGGAAGGATAGGTAGGAAAGAGAGGTATGAAGGAGAGGTAGGACTGATAGGTAGGACTGAGAGAAAGGACTGGGAGGTAGGACTGAGAGATAGGACTGAGATGAAGGACTGAGAGGTAGGAATGGAATGACTTAGAGGTATGAATGATAGGTATGACTGTGAGGTAGTACTTGGAGGTAGGACTGTGAGGTTGGACTAGGAGGTAGGACTGACAGGTAGAACTTGGAGGTAGGACTGAGGAGTAGGGAGGGGAGTAGGACTGAGAGGTAGGACGGAGAGGTAGGACGGAGAGGTATGACTCGGAGGTAGAACTGAGAGATAGAACTAAGAGGTAGGACTGAGAGGTGCACGTGTAGGACCTGGAGGTAGAACTGAGAGGTAGGGCTGGGAGGTAGGACTGAGATGTGGGACTTGGAGGTAAGACTGAGAGGTAGGACTGGGAGATAGGACTTAGAGGTATGTCTGGGAGGTTGGAAGGATAGGTAGGAAGGAGAATTAGGAAGGAGAGTTAGAACTGGAAGGAAGGACTGGGAGGTACGACTGAGAGGTTCGACTGGGAGGTAGGACTGAGAGGTAGAACTAAGAGGTAGGAACGAGAAGTAGGACTTGGAGGTAGAACTGAGAGGTAGAACTTGGAGGAAGAACTGAGAGATAGAACTAAGAGGTAGGACTGAGAGGTAGGACTGTAAGGTAGGACTGGGAGGTAGAACTGAGATATAGAACTAAGAGGTAGGAACGAGAGGTAGGACTTGGAGGTAACACTGAGAGCTAGAACTTGGAGGTAGAACTGAGAGAAAGAACTAAGAGGTAGGACTGAGAGGTGCACGTGTAGGACCTGGAGGTAGAACTGAGAGGTAGGGCTGGGAGGTAGGACTGAGAGGTAGGACTGGGAGATAGGACTGGGAGGTAGGACTGGGAGATACATGTATGCATCAGAGGTAGGACTTGGAGGTAGGACTAAGAGATAGGACTGAGAGGTAGGACTGGAAGGTAGGACTGGTAGGTAGGACTGAGAGGTATGACTGGGAGGTAGGAAGGAGAGGTATGACTGAGAGATAGGACTGAATGGTAGGACTTAGAGGTAGGACTGAGGTGTAGGGAGGGGAGGTAGGACTTTCAGGTATGACTGGAAGATAGGAAGGAGAGGTAGGACTGGAAGGTAGGACTGGGAGGTAGGACTGAGAGATAGGACTAAGAGATAGAACGAGAGGTAGGACTGAGAGATAGGCCTAAGAGATAGGAAGGAGAGGTAGGAAGGAGTGGTAGGAAGGAGAGGTATGGCTGGAATGTAGAACTCGGAGGTTGAACTGAGAGGTATAACTGGGAGGTAGGTCTGAAAGATAGGACTGGGAGGTAAGACTGAGGGGAATGGACTATCTGTTATGACCTGGGATATCTGCTGATTTCACAGATGTTTTATATAAGTATGATGTTGGCAGTCTAAGTTCTGGATTTCTGGTATCGATGATATTGAATTAACTGGGTATTCCGCATAATTTCCCCCAGATCTACTGGGAAAGGAGGCTGAGTAGTAATTTTCTACAAGAGTTATTTAGAAAATGATATTCGTTTAGTAGAAAACCTTTGTGATTGTATGTTCTGGGTAGAACTTATCTCTACCGAGCAGTATATATTCTTGTGTTTTTGTAACTTTCCATCAGAGAATAGCGTCTTTTATCAAAATTAAGATATCGTCATTTTTCAAGGTCTTGAAGAGTCAATCATTCAGCACAAAACGAATTGAAATATATATGTTGCTGACGTCCTTGACACTAGACCCCAATTATATTTTAAAGGGTGGTCTCAACCCTGAAATGTTAGGCTTGATGGATTACAGTGCGTACGTAATGATACAGTTATTCCTAATAGTGGTAATACTGTTTGCAGACGATTTCAGATTTTAGTCCAACTTTCATAACATAATATGTCTTTCACAACTCACATCCAAAATTATATATAGGTTCCGGATGTTTTACCGATATTTACGAATCTATATATGTTATTATTTTAGTTTTAAAGAAGCTCTCAAATTTCCGCAAATGTCACCTTCGAAAAAAATTCCTAAACTGTATTTAACGTACGACCACTATCACCTATCACCACTATCACCTAGTTAATGTCACCCATTCAACAACCGGAGCCGTAACATTTAAGACTGTGAATGCACACGTTAAGTAAAGCCGCCTTTATCACACAACAAATCTGAGTTCTTCCTCATCATATTTGTTATGTATCCATTTTAAGGGACCCATCTTAATAGGTTCACACAGCGAAAGGGAGATAACCTGTATAAAATCTCAATGTAAAATATTTACCAACATTGGTCATTATGTATGTCATTAGTACAGCAGTGTAAACTAGACCAATGACTTCATCAGAGATCAAATGTAAGACGGTGATACATGTCGTGTTTTAAGCGATGATACAATAAATGTATTGTAGCGCCAAAAGCGAAAAATAATTAAATGTTAAATTTAAGGTAATGCTTATATCTCTCTCGTCTGTGATGTAACTAACTTGTTTATTTAGCGACGTTTTGCCGTTTGTTTATATAGAGGCGGATCTTTAGATCATCCCATGATCGAGATACTAGTAGGTTGGGTTAAGGGTAGGAATTCCTTAAGATCCCGCTAGATCCGGCACTGGTCATACATTGTGTATGCACCTGTGTTTCTAGGCTTGTTTGGACACTTGTCCGAATAGTCACCGGGATTTTCATGTTATGCAATGTATATAAAACGGAATACATGTACATACACGGCACTGGTGAGTGCGAAGACAAGAAATGTGCGTATCAGTTTTGTATGACACAACTTTGAATGACTGTATGATCCAAAGACCGGGGTACCGAACGTTTTCATTCTCCATTGCAACCCGTCACTCTCTGCATGCAACTTTGAAAAAGAAGAATTGTTACCACAGTTGTCACGACAATAAAATCTCGACAATCGTGATAAAATGTTCGTCACAACCAAGGAAATCGAACCCTTACCAACCAACCCAGGAAATGGAAACCTTAGCTACCAACCCAGGAAATGGAAACCTTACCAACCAACCACTCAAGGTAATTGAGCCCTTACCTACCAACCAATAAAATCGAACCCTTACCAACCAACCATTGAAATCGAACCCTTACCAACCAACCAATGAAATCGAACCCTTACCTACCAACCAAGGAGCTAGAACCCTTACCAACCAACCAACCAACCAATGAAATCGAACCCTTACCTACCAACCAAGGAAATAGAACCCTTACTTACCGATCAAGGAAATCGAACCCTTACCTACCAACCAAGGAAATTGAACCCTTACCTACCAATTAAGGAAATTGAACCTTTACTTACCGATCAAGGAAATCGAACCCTTACCTACCAACCAAGGAAATTGAACCCTTACCTACTTGCCCCGAAAATCGAACCCTTTGCCATCCAACCAGGAAATCGAACCCTTACTTAATCATCAAGGAAATCGAATCCTTGCTCACCAACCAGGAAATACAATCCTTACCCAATAACCTAGGAAATCAAGAACTTTAGGCTCCCGAAAATCAAATTCTTACCTATCAACACAATGATACGAAAATATTGTCATTTACTCATATTGAACATTAAATCATGGGAGTTATATTTTCAGCGAACGAAAATTCAAAAGGGCGATGTTTTATTTATGTTTTGATTTTTGCATTGAACAGAAAACTCCGTATACAAGTTCTTTCATGTCAGATAATTTCTATTGTCAGTATGGTCCAATAAACACTTGATACCTATATATATGTACTGTTGTCACTATGGTCAAATAAATACTGGATACCTATATAACCGTACTGTTGTAAGTATGGTCTAATAAATACTGGATACCCATACATCCGTACTGTTGTCATTATTGTCAAATACATAATTGATACCTATATATCTGTACTGTTGTCACTATTGTCAAATACATAATTGATACCTATATATCCGTACTGTTGTCACTATGGTCAAATACATAATTGATACCTATATATCCGTCCTGTTGTCACTATGGTCAAATAAATACTTGATACTCATATATCCGTACTGTTGTCACTATGGTCCAATGATCACTGGATACCTATATAACTGACTGTTGTCCCTATGGTATGATGAGCACTGGATGCCTATATATCCGTTCTGTTGTCAATATTGTTAAATGAGAAACTGGATACCTTTATAACTGACTGTTGTCAGTATGGTCTAATGAGCACTGGATACCTTTTAACTGACTGTTGTCAAAATTGTCAAATGAGCACTGGATACCTTTATAACTGACTTGTCACTATGGTATAATGAGCACTGGATACCTATATAACTGACTTGTCACTATGGTCTAATGAGCACTGGATACCTATATAACTGACTGTTGTCAATATTGTCAAATGAGCACTGACTACCTATATAACTGACTGTTGTCGCTATGCTCTAATGAGCACTGGATACCTTTATAACTGACTGTTGTTATTGTGGTCTAATGAGCACTGGATACCTTTGTAACTGACTGTTGTTATTGTGGTCTAATGAGCACTGGATACCTTTGTAACTGACTGTTGTTACTATGGTCTAATGAGCACTGGATACCTATATAACCGTTCTGTTGTCAATATTGTCAAATGAGCACTGGATACCTTTATAACTGAATGTTGTCACTATGTTCTAATGAACACTGGATACCTATATAACTGACTGTTGTCCCTATTGTCTAATGAGCACTGGATACCTTTATAACTCACTGTTGTTACTATGGTCTAATGAGCACTGGATACCTTTATAACTGACTGGTGTCACTATGGTCTAATGAGCACTGGATACCTATATAACTGACCGTTGTCACTATGGTCTAAAGAGCACTGAATACCTATATAACTGATTGTTCTCATTATAATCCATTGAGCACTGGATACCTATATAAATGTTCTGTTGTCACTATGGTCTAATGAGCACTGAATATCTATATAACTGACTGTTGTCACTATGGTCTAATGAGCACTGGATATCTATATAACTGACTGTTGTCACTATGGTCTAATGAGCACTGGTTACCTATAAAACCATTCTGTTGTCACTATGTTCAAATGAGCACTTGATACCTTTACAACTGACTGTTGTCACTATGGTCTAATGATCACTGGATATCTATATAACTGACTGTTGTCACTATGGTGTAATGAGCACTGGATACCTATATAACTGACTGTTGTCACTATTGTCTAATGATTACTGGATACTTATTTAACTGACTGTTGTCACTATGGTCTAATGATCACTGGATACCTATACAACTGACTGTTGTCACTATGGTCTAATGAGCACTGGATACCTATAAAACTGACTGTTGTCACTATGGTAAAATGAGCATTAGATACCTATATAACTAACTGTTGTCACTATGATCTAATGAGCACTGGATATCTATATAAATGACTGTTGTCACTATGGTCTAATGAGCACTGGATATTTATTTTACTGACTGTTGTCACTATGATCTATTGAACACCGGGTAACTATATAACTGACTGTTGTTACTATGGTCTAATGAGCACTGGATAACTATATAAGTGACTGTTGTTACTATGTTCAAATGAGCACTGGATACCTTTATAACTGACTGTTGTCACTATGGTCTGAAGAGCACTGGATACCTATATAACTGACTGTTGTCACTATAG